ACCAGCAAATCGGTAAGCAGTATAACTACAATAGTAATAATGAACGGAATGAACTGTTTCCACCCCAGGCTCCACATATTTCTGTAGAGTTTTGGTTTGGTAAGATTATAGCCGGTAACAATAAGAATGGCTGCCAGTGAAGCGTAGGGAATCTTGCTGAGTAAAAAGGGTACCAGCAACACCGCCAGCAGCAAAAACAATCCATGCGTAAAGGAAGACAACCGTGTTCTGCCACCTGCATCAACATTGGCGGCCCCCCTTACTACAACGGCAGTCATGGGTATGGCGCCCAGCAGCCCGCACGCAATATTGCCAATACCCTGGGCCACTAGTTCGCGGTTAACCGGTGTAATGCGGTTTTTCTTATCCAGCTTATCCACGGCTTCCACGCATAGCAGCGTTTCCAGTGTCGCCAGCAAGCCAATCACCAGTCCATCTTTCCAGATATTAACAGAAGAAAATATTTTTGAGATATCGGGGAAACTGATATTGCCAAATACATTGGAAGGAATATTCACCAGCTGCGTTTGCTTCAGCTGAAAGCCGGCGCCTAACTTTACAAACAGCATATTGATGAGTATACCGGCCACCACTACCAGCAACGGCGTAGGAATCATTTTTAACTTTTGCATACTCCGCCGCCGACTTTGCAGTACTATCAACAGACCGAGAGAGATAAGTGTTATGACTATGGCACCCCGGGTAATATGTATACTGAAGTTTTTAATATTGCCCGGAAAGCTTTCACCGCTGAACAAATGCAGAAAGCCGCTGGTCCAGAAATCGGGTTGGTCATATCCCAGCGCCAGTGGTATTTGTTTTGAGATGAGTATAATGCCGATGGCGGCCAGCATACCTTTGATAACTGAAGATGGAAAATAATTGGCAATAGCACCCAGCTTCAATACACCAAGTACCAACTGGAAAAGCCCGGCAACTATTACTGCCAATAAAAAAGTACGATAATCGCCCAGTGAAATGATAGCCGCCGCCACCATGGTGGTTAGACCGGCGGCAGGGCCGGAAACAGCCAGTGACGAGCCGCTTACCAGTGAGACCAGCATCCCACCAATAATTCCTGATAAAAGCCCTGCATACAGAGGCGCTCCGGATGCAAGCGCAATGCCCAGGCAAAGCGGCAATGCTATCAAAAAAACAGAAAGCCCCGCGGGCAGATCGTGCTTCAGCCAGACCAGCCGGTAATATTTAATTTTTCGTCTCAATCAGGCAATGATTTCGCCGGAAGGTAAAAGCTTTATAAGACAATTTTTATGAGTTTCGTCAGGTGCCGGAAAACAAGCGCTGTTTTTCGGGCAACGATAACTGTGAGACAGCAGGGACAAGAAAGCGGTGCCTCCCCATTACCCTGCCAACTGAAGATAAAAGAGTGCAAATGCTGCAGCCGTAACCACTATAAGCGTAGTAAAACCCAGGATATTGGCCCGCCTGCTGTTGGTAAACTCGCCCATTACGCTTTTGTTATTTGAAATATGCAGTATAATGCCAATCATTACAGGCGAGGTAATGCCGTACAATATAGCGGTATAAATAAGGGCCTGTATAGGGCTGATACCAATATAGTTGATACAGAGTCCTATAAGCATTGATACCACCATGACCAGGTAAAAAGGCTTTGCTTCATAATATTTTTTATCCAGATTGCTATCCCACCCAAAAGTATCTGATACTATATAAGACAGTGTACCGCTAAGGACAGGAATGGCCAGCAAGCCGGTGCCAATAACACCAAAGGCAAATAAAAGGTAAGAAAGCCGGCCGGCAATGGGTTCAAGGGCCTGCGCCGCCTGCTCTACCGTATCAATCTGGTGAATGCCACCGTTGTACAAAACAGTGCCTG